GCTAAACACACCCTCGCCCCCCCCCCCCCCCTCCGAATGCAAGGGTTAACTGCTTATTTTTCTCTAGGGGCTTACATAACGAAGAAATACTCACCGGATCCTTGATCAACCTGGCTTCTAAACAAGTACGCGCAGTCTTTTTTCCTGGTCTCCAGCGGTCTGTGCCTCTGATGTCATCACTTCTAACACAGCACACCCACCTGTATTAGATGTGAGGACGCCGAGGGACATACCACAGCCAGAGAGAGGTGGGAGAGAGGCGAGCGGTCACTGCCACAGGACTGAGGGTCAGGTGCGCATGTCTTCTTTATTTGAGTGCCCAGAGAATAACGAGCAGTTAAAGACTTGCAGCATCGGGGTAGCACCACTGCAATTTAAATTTGGCTGGTCCAACACAACCTTAAAGTCTTGGCGTTGCAGGTTTACCAGGGCTTTAAACCGGTCTGAAAACACAACTGTCACACAATGTTCAACAAAAAAACCTGTAAAAGGAAAAAGATACCAACATAGAACAGTGCATAGAATATGACGGGATTACCTTCCCACCGAGAGAACAGTGACAGAAGGACGGGTTTTCTTTGGGTCTTTAGACTTCTGTGGAGTCTTAAATGGGTTCCAGCGTTTCTGTGCGCATCGGCTGCACACATTTTTGTCTGCCACTCCTCCAATAGTGTGAAGATGGCAAGAGTGTTTAGTAGGCGTTGACATAGGTGAACCCGGGCTTGTAGGACTTAAAGGCGTATTTGGAGTTGTAGGGCTACAAAAAAATAATAATAATAAAACAGGAATTAAAATCAAATAAAAATAAAACCTAGGTCAGGAGTTTAAAATACTATAAATTTACATGCTGCCCTTTTTGGGCGACATACAATTTAATTCATATAGGTTACATTGTACTAACCACAATTATTATTTTATGCTTCAATGAAAGGAATGGCTCTTAATAAGTAAGTGTAACCTCCAAGACAACTTGAGGGGATAGGAGAGTGCTTAAACCCGAAACAGAATGGGCTTTACTCTAAGGCCTCATTCACACTGCCGCGCGTACGTGTGTATTGTACCATATGCAACCTATGCAAATAAATGGCTCCATACACACAGCGGTGCATAGAGCCGTATATTTGTGTAGCGTATATAAGCGCAAAAACAGAATGGAACAGAGATGCGTCCGGGCAGCGTATTTCTGCGCGTTTACGCGCATGTACGCGCGTACATCACGTTAAAAATTCAATTCCGAGTGATGCATTCTGGGATTGCATATAGTGCACGCATATATGCTCGTATATACGCGCATAGACACGTATATACGCAATATACAATTTTGCTTGCGTTGTGTGTGAATGAGGCCTAACAGTGCGGATCCTCAAGAACTTTGCTGCCAGTCAACTTGACTACAGACTTGTTCTACTATTTGATTATATGGTCTGTAATATGGTATCACATGCAGATCAGTGGGTTGATAGATGTTACTGCCAGACTTATACTTACCAACAAGTGTAGTACATCCCAAGCTAAAGGCAATATCTTATAGGTCACCTCTATTTCCCATGAGCCCTTTACATGGCAACATGAAAACAAATTCGGTCAAATAATTTACTAAAATAGTTGATAATGTCTTTTTGAAAAAAACAAAAAAGAGTGAAAGAGTTAAAAGTTACTTCTCCAATCATGTGAAAAGCCAATGCCTGTGTATTTTACCTGCACATGATTCAATAATTAACCAGTTGCTGTCTGCCCGTTGAAAAAAAACGGACGGGCGGCACTGCTGCATTGGCGGGTTGCCGTCTCTAGACGGCATTTTTTTTCTGCTCGCGCGTGCCCCCTAGCGCACGCATGGGCAGGAAAACCCCGTGCAATGCATAGAGCTGTTACCGGCTGCTTAACAAATTCCTTGATCTGTGCCTCCATAGCCTGCCGATCGTGTATATGTGCCCCTCACCTTCAATCCCGGGATCCGCTGCCTCATCTGTGGCCTGGGACTGGCTCAGGAGGAAGAGGGAAGGAGATCAGCTCCTTGCTGAACTCCCTCCGGGCTGTGAATGCAAAAGTGATATGTATTGAATCACTTCTGCATTCACCTGTCAGTCATCTGGCTCCAGATCTCTGCTTCATCATCTTCTTTTGGGGTCCCAGGTGACATTAGGGGTCCTAGAGACCACTAATGTCTCCATAAAGAGGACTTGTCAGTGTGCCTGTGCTATTATATAGGGGATTGTTATTCCCCTATGTAATAGCATTAACAATAAGTGCAAAAAAA